ACGCGCGACCACCCTCCGCGACGGTTCACGAGAAAGTGAGGAAGCAAGCACAGACCTGCACGGGATGGTACGACCTTGGTACACGGCGTACACGGCTAAGTCAATAAACTGGGTGACGCAATTCACTAGCGCGTTGGACTGACGGAGAGCACCGATACCGCGGCACGCTCTACCGTACTCTCTCGCTCGCACGCCGTGACGTCTCACCCGATTCCCGGAATCCCGCGGCCACGAGACGGTAAAGCATTCCCGCAAGGGAAATTGTAATGAATGGGAATAATATGAAAGTTCTTTACCTCTTCTTGAACATTCTAATTTCATAGCCCTAAACTGAGTACCTGAAAGTATTTCATTGAATTAGTGTAAAAGATTTTACCACTTCCTAAAAGACTCCGTGTGATATTTGATAGCCTAAAAAACAGTGTGCCGATAGAGGGTTTCAATTTATTTACGAAACTAATCTGACCAATTGCTGCATTCTTTGACACTAATTTTCAAGAAAATAAAACTTCTATATTTTACTTAATTTGAGAGACACGTAGCTGAATATTAACATACGTTCATCATTAAAAAAAACTACTTGTAACTGTTGTCGATAAGAATGAGAATTATACAGATAAGCTTAAACGTTGTAAGCACGGACAAAACTTTATGAAAATGTAGTACTTTATGTTAGTTTTAAATTATTATTCTCATTAATATTAAGGTCTGTCAATAATATATGTGATATATGGACGTTTTTTGGATATTTATATACAATATAACTGATTATTGAATGCATATAACTCTTTTTGGAATTGATACTTAGAATTATCGATTTAAGTTATTTATATATTAAAAAAACTTTACGTCAACTGTTATCATTTATCATCCAGCATTGACAGTGCAAAATTCTCGAATTATTTTCGAACGTGCCAAATCCATCAACTTGAGGTCAAAGTCTTCAAAAAGTATGGCGAATGCTGTACATAGGTTAGTTAGGCCATTATCCACCACGTACTTACGCATGCGTGTTCAACTGCGGTTCCAGTTTTTTGGTGTAATTCCATGCACACATTTTAGTACTGTGATCGAGTGTGTACAGGTAATGTTTTAAAATGTCACAGTACAGATTATTGGGTGCTGTTGCGCGTTTCTCCTCTATAAATAAAAGTTATGCGACACGAACAGGTAATTACCGACAATGAAAAGCATTATACTTTTATGGGTACAGTTCTTGAATCCTTCCATTCGACCCCTTAAAAGGTGTATCTGTTGCAAGTTCTACATAATATAACAATGAAAGTATAGATTATGCAGCATATCTACTCGATATATTAGAACATAATTTATCCTGTTACGAATATTGACCCGAATTAATGTCATTATTTAATGTACTTTATCTCATAATTATATTGCGGATGCTCGATATAATAAAGTAAAAAGTTTGTATCAAGTTCAATAACTCATTTATTTAAACCTTTACAAAGTTCCCAATGGGGGAAATATTTTTTAATTTCTGTTCTCGACAATGAAATGTCAAAGGCATTAATTTGCATACAATCTGCAGTCTGGTTATAACAATATGTAGCAAAACTGATGCAACAGATCTTCATTTTTTTCCTCTTGCTGTATACATTATGAATTCTGCTTTCAGCAATGTATCAAACAATAAGGACATTTGCAAGTGCAAGAAATGCAAAACATTTGAAATACAAAGTTGTAGACAATGTAGCTGTACTTACTATAGACTCTCCCGGAGTCAAGGTATTATGTTAACTAATATAACATTTTAGTATAAGAAACCAAATGAAACCATAATCCACTTTTTTTTTTAATTATGAGTCAATATATTATAAATCAAGAATGTGTGTCTGATCTTTTGCTAAATAATAATTTATGAAAACAATATAGATCCATAATTTCCATAGAAAAGAAAATTGGTTTTGTCATGGCGTAATGGATTCTTCATTCATACGTGCAACACTTAAATTAATTCAGAAATACATCTAAATGCAGGTGAATACCTTAAATGAAGAAGTGATGAATGAGGTTGTAACATTAATGAAAGAAGCAGAAAATGATGCTGTTGTGAATTCTGTAGTTCTTATAAGTGGAAAACCAGATTGTTTCATTGCTGGTGCAGATATTTCTATGATACAGAGTTTTAAAACTGCAGAAGATGGTTACAGAGTGTCTGTACAGGCACAAAAGATTTTGGACAACATAGAACATAGTAAAAAGCCAGTTGTAGCTGCAATTCAAGGTAGTTGTCTAGGAGGAGGTCTTGAGGTACATAAATCACACAATTCCCAGACATATATGAATTTTTAAAATCTTTCTCTTGTGAACTATTGATTATTTAAAAGTTTATTTAATCAATGCAGACTGCACTGGCGTGTCATTATCGGCTTGCCGTGAATGATGCAAAAACTACTTTAGCTACACCAGAAGTTATGTTAGGTTTATTACCTGGAGCAGGAGGTACACAAAGGTTACCCAAATTAACTTCACTTCCTAATGCATTGGATATGATCCTTACTGGTAGAAATGTTAAGACAGTCAAAGCAAAAAAGCTTGGAATTGTAGATTTGATAGTAAATCGTCTTGGTCCAGGCATTGGAACACCAGAAGAAAAGTAAGAAAGATTTTGATGAATTCAGTGTCGATGTGTACATGATATGGAAGCTATAGATATATTTACAAAATTTATAGCACGATGAGATATTTAGAAGAGACAGCTATCAGAGCAGCAAAGGATATTGCAAATGGGACACTCAAGGTTGATCGTGGCCCTAAATCTCTGACTGAGAAGCTCATAAATTATACTTTCTCTTTGAACTTCATTAAGGATCAAGTATTCAAAAGAGCAAAAGGCCAAGTGATGAAAATGTCTGGTGGATTATATCCTGCTCCACTTAGAATTCTAGATGTAATACGTACCGGTTTGGATAAAGGTCCAACTGTCGGTTATGAGGCAGAAGCCAAAGCGTTTGGTGAATTAGCTGTTACATGTCAGTCTAAGGGACTCGTAAGTATATTCTTTGGACAAACCACGTGTAAAAAGAATCGATTTGGTACACCCAAGAATGCCGTTAAGTAAGTGGATTTATTACACTTCATGTGTCAATACAATTCATTATGTGCAGAATATTTTTTAACAATAATGTTCTGTACATTTTAGAAAAATTGCAGTTGTTGGTGCTGGTCTAATGGGAGCAGGCATTGTCCAAGTAAGCATAGATAAAAGCTTCGATGTAATTATGAAAGATACAAATGAATCAGGTTTATATAGAGGCGTTGGCCAAATACAAAAAGGCATGGATACTGCTGTAAAGAGAAAAAAGTATTCCAGGTTGGTCTCAAATATGTTTATGCGCCCGTAAAAAGATATGTTTATATGATGTTCAAAAACATTTTCATTGTGAGAATTTTCTGCACATATTTTTAGCATTCAAAGGGATATGTATCTTGCGAAACTAGAAGCTACTTTAGACTATAATTCTTTCAAGAATGCAGATATTGTAATTGAAGCTGTATTCGAAGATATTGGAATTAAGCACAGAGTCATAAAGGAAATAGAATCATATGCACCACAGCACTGTGTGCTTGCAACAAATACATCAGCCATACCCATTACTGAAATAGCTGCTGGAAGTAAACGCCCAGATAAGGCAAGTATGATTTGTTGCATTGATAAAGCTGGTCTACTTTTAGATCCACTAAACTCGGATTTTGATTTACAGGTAATTGGAATGCATTATTTCTCTCCGGTAGATAAAATGCAACTGCTGGAAATAATAACGCACAAGGGTACGTCGGCTGAAACTATTAAGACTGCGGTTGATGTAGGTTTGAAACAAGGTAAAACGGTCATTACCGTGGGAGACGGTCCCGGATTTTATACCACAAGAATTCTGTCAGCTATGCTGTCTGAGGCCATTAGATTAATGCAGGTTAGTATTTTCGATCATTTTATTATAGAACAACGAACACAGCAATATAAAGTAGAATGTTCATCATGAGAATAGGAAGGTGTGGATCCAGTGGACTTGGATAAACTTAGTAAAACATTTGGATTTCCTGTTGGAGCTGCAACGTTATCAGATGAAGTCGGTATTGACGTAGGAGCTCATATAAGTGCTCATTTAGGAAAGGTTTTAGGTGAACGATTTAAAGGCGGAGATGTAAACATACTCGGGGACATGGTTAAAGCTGGTTTCCTTGGTACTTTTGCTAATTCAGTTTACGTATACTCGACTCATTTGACTTGTGTTACGCTTAGATATATAATTTGAAAAGAGTGTATAAAATTTTGACATTGATACGAATCAAATGAGTGGTCTGTATCGCTGCTACAATGATATTTATCGCACGCATCATTAAAGCAGGGTGTCTGTTTTACTTGTAATATAAAAGTATGTACCGAACGATGAATAATTTTTAGGCCGAAAATCGGGTAAAGGTATATACGTATACGAAGCTAATACTAAGGACAGGGACGTTAATCTTGGAGCGTTAGATATTTTGAAGAAATATCATATTGAACCGAAAGGAAGTACTTCCAATGAAGACCGTCAATTACGAATGGTATCTCGATTTGTAAACGAAGCAGTACTTTGTTTGGAAGAAAATATATTGGCCAATCCGGTAAATAATGTTATGGGTATATTATAGTAGTTCATTCTTCCACGTATACAGTCAAATTTCAATAAATATTTTCGCAGTTGGAGGGTGACATAGGAGCTGTTTTTGGATTAGGCTTCCCTCCATTTACCGGAGGACCTTTCCGCTGGGTAGATTATTATGGAGCCAGTAACTTAGTGAGAAAAATGGAGGAATACCAGAGCCATTACGGCAATGCATTTAAACCGTGCCAGACTTTGTATGATATGGCGACCGATTCGAGCAAAAAGTTCCACAAACAATGAGTAAAATGTTATCTTAATATTGGAAGTTCATCAAGCAGTACAGTTGTAATTAGAGATTTAGTGAGATTTTATACATTTGTAATAATGGTATGAATGAAGAATCGAATTTTTAGACGTACTATATTTTTTGACGAATATATATGCTGAACTTATTCGAACTGTGATTTGAACTTCCTACAATAAGTATCAATGCAAAAGAAATATATATAATATGTATTTATTAAAGAATTTTTATACAGTTTATGTTTGAAGACACCTTTTATATGTTTCATAACGTATATACTATATTACTAAAGTTTATTTTTTCAGAAAACTGTAGAGATACACAAATTTGATGATGTGCATTGTTCTCAAACAAATTGTATGTATACATTTCACCGTTAAAAAAAATGAATAAAATACATTTTGTTTATAATGATATTCAATCTCATATCATGTAAGCAAATGCTGTAACCGTCATCATTTTGAAAAAGTAACGGTAGTAAAGATGCGTGTGCGTATGCATATTTACGGGCCATCAAGGTGTGCAGGAATAAGTAGTAATGAATGACTGATACATGTAGACGAATAAATTTATCACTTAATTACAATTTTTTACTCACGTTGAATTATGAAAGACATAGGTGCGGAATTCTTGTACTTGATGCAATGTCCAAGAAATATTGCACTTTCAGGTGTACACTTATTTCCGAGGAAAAAAATCGTCTTCTGCTCATTAATATTCATAGGTAAGATAAATTTTTATATCTTTGGAATAAACTGATTTCCAGCAGAAATTTTGCTTCGGAATATTTTAGAGCTACAATTAGAAAGTATTAAAAAGTACATTTGTATGTTAACTGATAATATCGAAATGAAATTACTAAAGCTCGTTTAATACCACCATTTAAATGCACTTTTTCTGAGTTTTATTCAAATATAAATCTGTAAGGAAAAAATTACACAGGATAACATTCACTATTTCCATTTCCGATTAATCATCGATTGGAAAGTTTCGAATGAAATAATGTTTACAAGTTAGGTAGTCTGTATGTTTTTAAAAAATTTTGTTCTATTTATGAAATGCTATTTCAGTAGACTAAACAAAGGCAAGCTTTAAATGCGTGTCACGCTTTAGGTAGAAACAAATTTGAATAAATTGCAAATGAGGGTAATCAGGAAGATATTTAAAAAAAATTTGTTTTCCGTCTCTGAAATGCAATTTTTAGTAGACTAAACAAAAGCAAGCTTTAAATGCGTGCTACGCTTTAGGTAGGAACAAATTTTAATAAAAGCAAATGAGGGTAATCGGGAGGACATTTTACGTCATCTACCGGTCCCACACCTGTTTGTGACATTTACAACATTAAAAGAGACCGAGTCCTTGGCTGATGCAAGAAACCATGGTGTTTCGTGAGAGACCATTGCCGGGGATCGTAATTTTAAGTTGACTACTTAATGAAAATTTTAAGTACGTAGTAACGAAACCATAGGTAAGAAGTTCAATATTGCGAGAAACTCTTTTTTATCTTTTTCTTTTTTTCAGTAAAACAACAAAGTTTCATCGTTAGTTACTTTTATGACGTTGGAGAAATTTAATCTACTCACTTATCATGAACTTTTGTTTCGTGAAATTGTTAAGTACCAAAATATCCGTGTAAACACTCGTAAGGAAACACGTATTTTCGGTGATCCGGTTTTTTAGACGTATACAAACGATTGATAAAAAAAAATCTTATCGTAATCTACGGCTTCATGAATTATGTTTGATGTGAATACAATCCTTTTTTTCCAGTGTGAACTGTACGATAATCTTCAGTGGAACTTTTTATTTTTTAAAGACTTTATTAACAATGAGCACGTCTAACGTAGTGGATGTATTGTAAGTTACATTGAAATTGAACATTTTGAAACGCGAATTTATATACGATGCATTATTTCACATAAAAAAAAATACAGTTATTAAATATCTGTCAAAGATAGGAATAAGCGTTTCAAAAACGGAACGTTCATCTTCAATGAAACGTATCTTCGTGAATATTAATTAAGAGAAGAAGATTATATCTATACATACGTATTCGACTCGATGGAGCTCATTGCGGACGATGCGTGATGGAAATTTTTCGCTTTGAAGTACCGTTTGCTTACCTTTGTCAATGTTTCAGCTCCCTCATTTCACGATTACGAATTCTACGCAAACGATTCGATGATTCGAATTTCATACGTACTTTTCGAAGAACCGACTGTATTATAATTTGTTTACGAAGATTTGCGAACACGTGTGAACATCGTTTTCCTCGAATCGTATATTAATCTACGATACTCGATATGATCGGTTGAATCTCTCGTGAAGAATTACGTGAAACGATAGCGTGCCCAGTATACCGTATTACTTATTCCCAGATAGCGTATAGACGTCTTGAAGACGGCTTACGGACGCCTTAGACCTAAAATAGCCGTAAAATAGGCGTTCTTAAGGCGTCACGTACGATCTGGGTTGCCGATTGAAAAATTCAAAATATGACATTTTGATACCGCGATACGTTCGCACATATTCACAGTGACTTTGACCATATTTATCTAAACCACGGCAGACGATACGTCATGCACAGACGATTCACTATCGTTCAACCGACGCGCGTGTCGAGTCCTTCGTAAATAGAAATCGTCTTTTTCCTCGTCATCGGTCATCACGATACATGACCTTCCGTATTGCTCTTAGACTCTTTCCGCGCGCATAAAAATCGTGATCTTACGATGTTTGTTTCGATCTTATTTCTCGGTGGGATTATGCAATTACAACGTCAAAAATCATCCGTGAATAAAATAAACAAAAAAAAAAGAAAAATTAAATTAAACGTTCGAAATTAAAATTAAAAAGGTCATAACATTGCCGGCTGTGATTAGAAAATGGTTAATAACGGTTAGTCACTCGCCAAAGTCTGTTGCAAACTTCCATAAATTGTTGAAAGTTAAAAAGAGTTGGAAATTTATGCACGCAGGAAGGACGTTGCAAGATTGGTGGGGGTATCGTAAATGGCTACAGTACTTTTTTACGAAAGTATAGAAGTGATTTTATTAATCTCTGATTTTGTAGAAAAATCATTAAATGTTATCTTTACAGTAAGAAGTCTTGCGTCGCCCGGAAGGATTTCCTTGATCGGGCAAGATATATACATACATATGGTTCGCAATTAACATATACAACTAGTCGACAATAATGAAAACAGCGTAACTTCAGCGTTTTTTAGCTTTTGCATAGCTGTTATATGTACATAATTCATAAAGAGTGTCTTTGAATTCTTAAATAAATACACTTTCTCGGTCAACGCGCGCTTACGCATCACAGATCACAGACACACTTAGGTACATTGGTTCACGGACGGCAAAGAAGCCTCGTTTTTTTTTTTATGACTTATCACCGCTCCCCGTGCCCGACCGCGCCCCGGTCTCATTCTCATAAGTCCGCCTCGTATTCACTAGTTCGACGCGATCACGGATTATACACGTTAAAGGAGGCAAGCGGGAGCGCATTGTTCCTCGTACTTCATAATATATCGAAGTAGACGGTACCTCTTTCCGTCGATTATCCTGACATTTCGATCAAGAACTCACGAAGAAAACCCTGCTAAAGACGTTCCTGTAATTGAACACCATTACGCGGGACGTACATCGTAAAAATTCACCCTCCGATTCATCCATCGAAAGACGTAACGATCTCGTTCATATTCCGACGGACTCTTGGAATGGTTCTCAATCCTGCGGTAATTAAAGCTCGGCTCACAGCTTTTTGGTACTGGTAAAGCATGCTTCAGTGACTCCATGCCACTGGTAATCGTGTATATGTGTTTTATGCCGCCAATTGCGGCGGTATGATTTGTTGAGCTGACTGCGCTAGACGTGGCGCTAGAACAGGAAGTAAGCTGACCCGCAACGGCCCGGACGTCATCTGTCCGATAGATGTTTGTACACCGTTGGATCCCACCGACGACGATCTGTCTCTGGCGTGTCGTTTCACGTGTTTCGCTAAATGATCGCTCCTCATGAATCTTCGCTGACATACCGTGCAGGCGAACTTTTTCTCGCCGGTGTGGGTACGCTTGTGCCGTGACAGTTCGTCGCTTCTGGAGAACCGTCGGCTGCAGTCTTCGTAAGGGCATGAAAATGGTCGTTCCCCGGTGTGGGTACGCGTATGCGCTTTCAAATGGGACGATTTGAAATAATTCTTGCCGCAACCTGGATGCTCGCATTCGTAGACACGACGTCGGGCGGTCGATTCCGCTGTGGTGACACTTGTCGTTGTGGTAGCTGTTGGCGCGGTAACTAGTAAAAGGGGTGCTCGCGGCAGTACCAAGGGAGATCCCAGAAGTCCGGTCACCATGATCGGCGCAGGTTTCGGTGCCAACGGATGTAATTTCGGCTGACTGATCTCTCGGTCCGTGTTCTTGCTATTCACAATGATCTCCTCCTTTCGCAGGCTCATTTTGAACTTGAGACTCTTCAGAACATTCTCCGGTTCCGCGGCGCTCTGGCGTACGATTGGCACCAACTGCGGGCTTGAAACTGATGCCTCGTGTGGGACCGGTTGCGCGCACACCGTGGTTGCCTTTGACGTTAAGTTGGCAGGACTGTATGTACCGTCTCGGTTGGCACGCATTATGACCGACACTCGAGCGGGTTCTGGACTCGGTGGTGGTGTTCCGTCGAGCAGCAGCTAACATAAATAAATTAAATTTTGTTTAATTTTCTATTTCATTCTTCGAACAATCGTTACGACGTATTTTTAAACACAAGTTCTATACTATTTATTCGTGTAATTTCAACTTATTTAAAAAAAAATGTTTGGGTGGTTACAACCCAGATTGCATATGACGTCTAATTACGCCTTGAAGACGGCTTAAAGGCGCCTTAGACCTAAACTAGCCGTAAAATGGACGTCTTCAAGGCGTCATGTGCTATGTGGGAAGTGGATTGCGGATTTTATGCATTTGCGACATTTTAAATTGACTTTCAATTTAAGAGGTACCTTGTGTACACGTTTATTCTCGTTTTTGAAGAACAGACTATCAGTGGTCAATTTAGAATGAAAAAGAAATTATTTTTGCATTATACCATCGGAAGGTATAAAGTATACGCTCGAAGGATAAGCGACAAAAATGGTGTAAGAGTGAATGCACGCCGCAAACGGGGTCATCTTGCAAAACAACTCGACGGGCGCATGCGTGAATGTACATTGGAGCGGTCTGCGGCTCGCGCGCGGCGAAAAAATCAAAAAGAGATAAACTTCTCTCATATTTAAGATGCGCAGAATGCAGTATCACGATAACAGACAGTATTTACCTTCGCCAATTCACATTGCTCCGTGCATCGTCGTTTTCGAAGAGGCTCGTCCTCCTCCGAGTCCGATGGCTGAGGTGTCGGTGGCAAACCCGGCCGTACACCTCCATCGTCTGCTTTTTTCGCGCTTATCTCGGTGTTCCTTGCTTCCTGCGAGAACTTATCCGCAAGGAGTGCCGCGACACTGAACGACGATTGCAGAGGCTCGACCTGTAACACAGAAAAAAATCCTTCAATAGAATCCCTCGATTTTGTCAACGATCAATAATTACACGAAAATCCAGCCACGGTTTAAATCTAATCGAAATTCACAGAAGACACGTATAGAAATCCGGAACGATCGTGGAAGCACAAGTAAAGAGGACAAGTAAGACATTTAAAAAAAAAACACCATGGCCAGAATTAAAATCACTATGTGGCACAGGGCTGGGGCTGGGTCGTTGTCCCAGCTGTGTTCGTATTTCGCGGGCAGCCAGCCGCTCTACATTGGCGGTACTTCGAATTCAGCGTACACTTACGTGTTTAAATTGGGGTGAGGCCGGTGGTGACAGAAGTGTTTGATTCGTGTCCATTTTATTTATTCTCGTGTGTCTTTTCGGAAACGAAACGTAAGGTGCGTGGCGTGTCGTGGTTAAAAGAGGCACGGCCAGCGACGGTTAAATGCAGTCTCTCGTGTACGGTATACGCCTCGCGCAAAAACCCGCAAGGGAGGTAACCGTTGAACGTCTGGTAACGCAATGAAGCTTTCTCAGGTCGGCGGCTGGCTCGACACGCCGTTTTTCGTTGTGTGCGTGATCATGCGGCGGGCTCCACTCCGGCCAATCCCGTCGAGGGGCTCGCCGTGTCCGGCCAATGGGGGCCTCGTAATCAGCCGACGACCGCGTGATCACCGGCGTGCTGTTCACGTGCTCGCAGTCTGACTGAGGCCGTGATCGTGACGTCAGTTCGCGTGGCGCGCTCGGTCGATACGTCATGGTATCGCTATACTTACTCTCTACGGAGCGTCATGCTAGCTTACAAACACTCCTACACCTTGGATCGGGCAACCTATCCGTATTCGCTTTCTCTGTCCCACCGTCTTTTCTCTTCCTACACGGAGGAGACACTTCCCCTCGGCGTGGCCTGGCTCGTGTAGGCGACGAAAGAGCAGAATGCCGATGCGCCAGCGAGACGCATGACGAGCCTCCGAATTGTCGTTTCGCCACGCTCGCCTTTCTTTCTCCCGGCTGTTTGTCCCGGACCCGATATGCCTGCGACGCGTTTCGCAAGTTCCCTGCAAAAAACGTTCGTTATTCTTAGGGAACGTCCGTTGTGTTCCCTGTATGATGATTTCACTCCTACGCATCGAGGAACGACGCAACGTGGTCGCGTGAAGTAGAATGTTTGACAAGCGGGTTATTTAACGCCGTATGACATAAAGCTGACAATCCATGGAAATTCTATCGGTAGCAGGGAGATTGTAATTATTGTCTGTAACGTTGCAAAGCATTTCTGTGTTTGAATAGCCACTGACAGCTCATACGACCCTGAGGAAAGGTAGGAGGCCTCTTGTCCCTCCATGAGCACTTCAGCTACTGATCAACTTAACGACCACATAATGTTTCCTCTACTATGACTACCTCCTTCCTTATTACGCGTTGGGGGATCTTCCACTTTTGTTTGAAAAGGCAGGATATATACGATAATAAGACGGAGAGGCTCTGTTAGCAACGGCATCTTGAAGACTGCCTCAGTGTACAAGGGAGTACTTCGATTGTGGAAGACAAAGCGGCATATGATGCTCCACCAAACACGGTGTTCTTGGATAGCGTTGATGTACAAGTATTGAAATTGTACCGTGGAAAAGGCGCATTTTCATAGGGCAAAACAATTTCACGATGACGAGTCTTTAAGGATCAATTATCCCCGAGAAAGACTTTAGTGTTTCTTTGACGTGACTTATTACAGTTTTTCGAACCGCTGACGCCATTACAGGAAAATATTCCAAAGTGGAAATCGCTTTTCCGGGAAACACGATTTGCGTCCAGCTGGAGGCAATTAATGATTTCTTAGATCGACGATGTTTTCCTTGTATCTAGCTTGTCTGCACCGTTACATTTAGAATTGGTCTGACATTTATTGGTTTATTGCATCTGGATACCCAGCGTAGGCTCTCCCACAGCTGAGTAACACGCGAGGAACAGACGCGGCGAGGAGAGTCTTGCGCGGGCAACTGAAAAATCTGGGGACCCGAGGTCGTCGGGAGGTCGGATTTCAACGAGGAAGTATTCTGGCGCAGTCTGCCGTTAAATATATACATATATATATATATGTATATCGGCCGTCCACTTTGCGACTGGTTAATTCGAATCCAGCTCGAACGGTGCTGGTCTTTGACTCGTCTTCGCCATCCCCTCCTCCTGCTCCTCCTCCACCACCTCCTTCTCCGCCATCGTTCTCTTGTCTCGTTGTATTTTTCAGCAGCGCCCTATCCGCAGAACAAATTGGTTAGGTGGCTGATTAAGAGTCTGCATCGGGAACATGGTGCTCCCGTTTATTTAAAGCTCGATTGCCCGAAAATATGACGAGAGTTCAAAGATTAACTAAAGGCATAATAATACTCCAATTCTCGTTTCTGTCTTAATATACACATGATAGGCGATAGATTGAATGCACGATTGGTATTAGCGGAGTCTGGTACGCCAGTACTTACAGAGATCCCCAAATTAAGCGTGATGTTTTTTTTTTTAATAGACCCGTGGATTTAATTCATTTTATTCTATACTACGAATATGCAGAATAGAATAGAAACGAATGTCAGGTTTGATAATGGCAATGCTACCGGATTTGTCGATTTTAGAATAGGAATTCGCAACAGAATTCGGGGGAATCCCCTCGAATCGCTCTATATCCCGTGCCAAGGGAACTAAAATAAGATGGAGCCACGGAATGATAACCAATAGTTAACACGTGCACAACGGTCCGACAACCGATGTTTATTACTTCTCGTTAATCTAATCACCGGCGGTATATTTTCTTCAAGCTGGGTTTCACCTTGAAGACGCACCCATCCCGAGAATCGCTATTTTCTATTCCGACTACCTTGAGCATCGGAGACTTCTCGACCCGTGTTCGCGTTGAAATATACCGACACCGTCCCAATGTACACAATTTATACCGAACGTGGAGTTGTATACAAATTGCGCAATACTGTAAATATTTTGACAATATACCACGTGTATATTCTACCTCTTACATACATAGAAGGTATTACGATACTCTTAAAACATCACTATATCTATCGCAAAGTCCCGACCCGCAATGGATAAAAAAAAAAAAGTGTCCATCGGATTTTCATTATTCGATTTGTAGAGTCGTGATTCAGCCACTAAACTGGTGGTTACAGCTTCGAAACGCAATTATCAATTTCCTTCAATTGTAACGCCGCCCGGCCCACTAAGATAATACGGCACCGGACGTGTCGATTCGACCGTTCACGATGGAAAGGCCCTCAAGTTCGAACATTCGATCGCGCGATTTTTTCTCCTCGACGTTGTAAGTTCGAACGAAGGAACGAAAGGGACACGGATCTCTTATCTTAAGGAGCTTTTCTTCTTAACGACGGTCACCAATGAGATCGAGAGATTTCACGGTCAAACTTCGAAGCCGTTGGAAAAGAAATAACAGCATTCCACGTGACGATCGGCTTTGAAAACCGGAGCATCCCGTTGTTGCGTTCTGGTTACCTAATCGTGTTCGGTGCATGACAATTTATAATTGCGCGCTCTTATCTCGGCGTGTCTGGAACGGTCTCGCGACGCTTCATTAAAGAACGGGCTCGATCGAGGCGTGAAAACAAACAGCGAAATCGCGAAATTTAATTTCGTCGATTGTCTGCTCAAGATGGTTCGACGCTGTCTGATGAAGCAGGTGCGAACACAGGGGGGTGGGGGACCGATCGAGGGGCGATCGCTTCATTGGACGTCCATGCGTCTCATCGCGCGTGTCCATTAGTGTTTTTATCGTTGATTCTTCTTTTTTCGAGCGTGTCTCTTATCAGCCGTCAAGCAATCTCATGGAATATTACTATGTAAAATCGTTTTCCTCGATGCTACCGCGTGTCTCGTAACTCCGATCTTATCGTACAGTATCTTCCGTTCCCGTTGCACTATCATTGCCCTGGGCTGCAACGATTCATATTATGCAATATATATATATATATATATATATATATATATTTTCGAATGGCCTACTCGAACAGATATATATCCATATATATTTATACATCTACCAGTTCGAGTAGGCGATTCGAAAAATTCGATACAAGCACGTTCTTCTCCGCCGTCGACGATCATTGGTCACGTACGACGGGAAATCGTAAACATTTCTTTCGTAACGGCACGTCGAGGAAAAAAATTATCCCGGGGTGGGCTTTCGTCATTCCGGTTTATCGGGGAGCCCGTTTAATGCACCAGCCGGTTTGAATAATTCCGCCGTTGTCTTTAATTAGCTCGTGTGTATCGGATTCTCGTGAGCAGCACGCGTACCCGGCGATTTCGCGAATTCAAAGGCTGCCAGTGTTCACGATAGACAACGAAGGGAATCACTCGACGGACTCGTGATCAGCGACCGTGGTCGGTCGTGTGTTGCGCGCGGCAATGCGACTTCGACGTTCTACGCGTTTTATCGCCCCCCCCCTGAGGTCCCCCAGTTTCACACCCGTGAAAGTGTCGCTGACTTTGTTTTTAATGAGTCTCTGAGTATCGAACGGGGTGGCGAGAACTGACGGACGATTGCCGAAAAAAATTTCACGAAATCGCAGTCGTGTGAGTGGAAAGTGTATCGCGCCCCCTCGGAGGAATCGGACTCGTTCAAAACAACTGCACCGTCCGCCATCTTACTTTCCCCGCGGAGGGCCCCAAGGTCGGTCGCTCGACCTTCCCAGATCACTTTGGTTCAGCAACTCGCTGACGTGTTTCTGGGAGTGTAATTAATGAAATAACCGAGATGGCTGAACGTAAAGGAATATTTTTAAGGATATATTTTGAATCTTCGTTCGAGCCGTCGTTGCAAGCGATGAGGTTGAGGACCACGATTGCATTAAGACAACAGTTTCACGAATATGTTCGAGTAAATGTATCTATCCTGTTGTTATTTTTAGCAGCACACTAATGTTTTGTCACGTGTATGCTTTTCCTTGGTTCGATGTTTATCCGGATACACCTTATCAAGTAGTTGTGTTGTGAATTCACGAACGTGTGATATTCTTTGTTTGGAAGTTCAGAGGTGGGACTGTTTCTTTCAGTTTGCCGTCAACAAGAGTCGCGGGGCTTGTCGGGCGTGTGCATTCGATTGACATCGTACAGGGACTCCGACACGTCATCGGAGTGTTTCTTTGCACGCGTATATGTACTGTACACAATTAATCATCGATAATTAATAAGAGAAAAAAAAAGACCGTATCGGTCCTGGTTGAAAGTATCGACGCTGGATTACGATTAAATTGTAACGCGTGTGTCTTTCGCGTTACGTTACCGTGTTCATAAATGATTCCTAAACCTTCCTGTCATCATCATCTTTGTTCTCGATTTTCTTCGTTTCTCAAGAGCGTCTTCCATGCGTACGACCTTCGAGGATCCGTAAGGCTGTATTACAAGTATCTTTAGTGCTGAATGCAAAGCGTTATTACCGGTTGTTTTCGTGCAAGGACTATCATTGGAAATTTTATCGTCTTATTTTTGGCTTCGTTGCTTCCAGCACGGCCTTCGTTTGTTCGCGCCGTTAGAACTATTCGGTTTGAACGTGTATCTGTGCGAATTCCTTTTACTAATAGATAATATTATATTATTACTATAGATTGTTTGATTACCTTTTAGACATAAATGTTTAGTTTGTTCGATGAAATTCCTTGTTCCAGAGGCAGCACAAGTCGATTCAGGTACCATTGGCAATTATCATTGAAACATGCGTGTATTCCGTGTTGCGGTAGCTGCGTGCCTCGCGGTTCTGAAAGCGTGGGGCGTGTCTGAAGTTAAACGGGTCAGAGCCCTTCACGGAAAGTATCACGTAAGCACGGTATCTCGCGGTTAAAAATACGTTCAATGAAAGAGCTTTGGTACTCGTCGAACCGTTTGTTGTTTCGCACGATGGTACCGTATGAACTTCATTCTATCCTACGCACGAAAATAGAACGTGTCGGTGGTAGTAGTAAGAGTAATTGGTGATCATCTTGTTTACATCCGAGGCAAACGATGACACGGTAAAAAATTGCATCTGGAGAATGGTACTCCGACTCGTCGTCTCTTGGCTGAAGATTAACGAGACGAGTACAATCGCTTTGGAAAAAAATATGTCTGGATGATAAAAATGCCTTTAGAAACGCGAAAGCCTTGCACGAGCTATTCTGTTGACAATGGAAACAAGTTATTGTTTGGACAATATTCTCCTCTAGAACAGCAACTACACAATTTTTGTCAGTGTAAATTATTACTAGAGTTTACAACATTCTTGGCTTTTAGTTTTTTACGTATTGAACCCGATAAAGGAGGTATTATAGAAAATGAGGTACATTGTATTTTTAATTTCATGTATAGTAATTATAATATATGTTTGTAATGTAGTAAAAAGTCGTTTGCAGCTAGCTGTTCATTTATGTTTAATGAAAAATGCATTGGAACATATGCGACATGTGCAATGAACTTTTGTTGGTATATGCGATATCTTACATACCGACAGCAGACAATTTCTAAAAAACCTTAATTTTATTACCATACGAGAATAAAGTACCAAATGTCCTTCGAAGTTACATCAGAATTGTGCAGATGTCGCTAAAGAACTTAAAATACTTTTCCAGCTGGTGGAATTGAATTTGGCATTCAAACCTCACTTTTCTAAAACGAAGCTTATCACTAGATTGCGGATTTTATGCATTTATAGCCCATAAGGCTCTGTGAAATACAATGAAGGATAAATATTTAAACATTAATAATTAAGCACTTAATAAGATACTTAAGGGAGGAAAGAAATTCCTACTTTCATTCTTGTCTTTATGAATTACTTTGGAAAATATCATTTTGCATAAAACTCCGCAGTTTACTTATGACAAATGAGATACATAAGATAGACGTACCTCTAATATGAAATTTATGCCGTAATAAATACAGATTTCTAGGGCCAGGAAGTACTTACGAAGTCTGGAAACGACAAGGAGAAAGGTTGTGTAGAATTCTGGAATTTGCCATGTTTTGTAACGTAGAAGCTGTAAAAATTGCTAGCTATTTGTCGGCACTACAAAATCCATGGAGTACAGGACCCGTAAAGCGACTAGTCTATCGCATCTTTTCTTTGTGATTGCATCGAGATCTGCTGTCGTTATCTGGAACCACGATAGCAGTCTCGGTCGATAAATGAGTCCATTCGAAATTTCCCGCTTCTGGAAAGAGAACGCGCGTAGTGGGCGGAGCTTGCTCACCCCTCCGTCACCCCACTCCTGGCGGCGTAGTCACGCCGCGTACATCGGAGTGGGGGTTGTTTGGTATCGCGTTTGTTTAGTTGCTCGCTGACAGCGGCCGCGGTACGAGCTGTCGTGGTGCGTGTATGCGTTTTCCGTCGGCGTTTGTGCGTGGAAAACGCGAATAAGACGCGACTCAAAAGAAAAAGAAGGAACGTTGTAAGCGGCCCTGAATCGTGCAACGGCAAGAGAATCCGTCGATTATTTCCGGGTGAATTCGGGAAACGTTTTGTGCTTGAGAGAGAGAGAGAGAGAGAGAGAGAAAACAAGTGTTCCGTTACTGTTTACCGCTTTTTCAGTCCTGGTTCCCTCGCTCTGTCGTCTCGTACCAGAATTTATTTGTTTCGTCTAACGTTATTTATTTTCCGTTGCGTGTGCTGTGTCATTTGTTATATGTCGACGACGTCACGCCGATCCGGGACGAGCGATCTTCGTCTACTCTGGTCACGTACCTGCAACGACGTCAAGCATGTCGACGCTGATTTGGTGATGGCAGAACGCAGAGGATGTCACGCCGCAAGCAGAGCAACCCGAAACCGCTGAAACGTGAGTCGTAACCAATGTGATTCCAGTCTATTCCTTGCTTTATTTCCCCTGTGCATAGATATATCACGGCGGATTGTGTGTGGCCGCGTGTGACTCGTGTTAAAATCGTGTTTGTCATACGCCGCGGCGACAAACTGCTCCGGGGAAAACTGGTTTCTCCGCGGGCGTGCTTTTAAGCCGGTCGGCCACGTTGCTTGACAGGTGATTGGGGCGTCGTTCGCTGTGTCAGGCCGCGTTTCCACTCGCCTCTTACCATGCGAACCGTCTCGAATGATTCCCGTCGCTTGTAATTTCGTTCCGTGCAACGTACTCTTTGTTTTATGTTTACGCCATTATCTTTTCAAACGAGTTACGAATAACCGTCTTAGCTGGCTGCCTGGCCAATTGTGTCGAAGTTCGAGTCACGTGTTTTGGCGGGAATTTTGCAACATTCGAATCGGACGGGACGTGACCAGTCGAAGTAGACTTCTTTCTGTTTCTCGTTTGTTATCGATCAATCGAGTGTCGTGGTACGCACGAGTAAGCATATTTTTTGTGTCGTTGTCTCCTCTGTGTGTTGGTGTAATGTTGCTTGTGAGTGCGAGAAAAGACCGTTGTCACACTCGACAGTTCCGTGGGTTGTGTCAGCTGACCTTACGAGCTCATCGCGGGTCACGTGGTCGACCACGCATGCGGCGTTCGACCGCGTGCGTATGCCAACGTCTGCCTACGAAACCGTTGCGTTTCTACGCGCGATAAGAATCTAACCTGATATCTATGATCATTAAAATTAACACATTCAACGTACAATGAAAGTTTCCTACGTTTCGTTTATACAGTTATCGCCTTTGTTATATCGATGGTGGTGTAGGAATTTTTTGGGGAATAGTCTGACAGCCAAAGTGTTAATATATAGTGCCTTGACCCACTGGTGGATCAAGCCAGGTTGCACGTGTCAATGCTGTCGTTAGTGTGTTCTCGGGCCCCTCGCAGAATATCCAATTTTTTGTCAGGGAAAGAAGCTTTAGGTTAACTTAGAACCCATTTACTTCGAGTTTTCTATAGACATTTGCGTCCAAAAGTGATAAATTGTTAAATCTATGTAAATTAGTCACCCTCGAGGCGTTCTTAAATTTTGAAACTGTAGATTGTGAGGAAACTTCTCGTGGAACATAAAACCGAGGAAAAAATGTTGTATAATAATGTCTGTTAAACCAAGATGAGTCAGGGAAGCATATCGATTTAAAAATCGAGTTCTGCTGCGAACCATTTCCAAGAATCTCAGGTGTCGTAAATAAGTTATTCGATTGGAATTCTTTTAAAAAAGAACTGGTCCGAAAGGATTAAATTCATTCATCGAGGAAGATATTTTCACGAGTATAACTTAATTCCGACGAAACGACGATTAAACATGAAATCCATTTGATATTATCGAGTTCCGTGGAACGAGATACCATCGCTAATTAGGATCTCCCGAAGATACCTGCCCCGATCTCTTTCGAGTGTCGAATAAGACTCGAGAGCGACATAAACGAAGGCCGGTGGTTCCCTTTGGTTTTGCTCGTTATTAACTGAATTACAGGCGGTCCCAATTAGTGGCCACGCGCTCGTCCCGTCGTTTCCAATAATTACCGAGCACATTAACGGTCTTGGCCGACAGGGGTGGGGTATCGTTGCGAAAAACAAGTTCGCCGAAAAAATCGTGCCTCGAACAGGAAGACTCTCTTTCTCGATGCATCATGCGGTGGCAAAACGTCAGCCGTGTCAAAACTTGACACCCATAAATGGTGGTGAGAACCAAGAAGATGTGTGCTTAACTACAAAAGAAAAACTGAAGTTATACAGTCAAATATTTTGATCCTAGATTTCGTTCTCGAAAAAAAAAAGAATTACCCCGTTTTAGTACCTTACAATGTTTCTGTGTACCATATAGAAATACCTTGGAAAATATGCATTCACACATTTTTTCAAAAAATAAAGATAACTATACATTATTTTTTGTATTTTTTTATAGGGTATATTCTCTTTTACGTAATAAAACGTTGGTAGTATTGCAGTTTCGTCACGTTCTGCATATGAAAAACCGAAGTATTTGTGGCAAAGACCGTGGAGGCGATATTTCGGCTTTTGGGTATTAACTGTAGGAGGATTAAGGATTCGTCTGTTAGGTATACATTTCAGTACTTCCACAGTATCTGTTACCGATTATTCTTACTCGAGTTAATGCTGACAAGCGTTCCAGTCATAGTAACTCGTTATTAGTTTTCCATAATTCGGTATATAAACCGAGCATTTGAATTTGATATTGAAAATTGATCGATAATCCAGTTACCATCAACCGTTCAGTGTCACTGTCCAACGTAATTCTCGATTTCAAAGTGAAGTGCAAATAAAGAGTCGGAATAATAAATGTCGCGTCGCGAAACCGTGAAAACTTAGGAGGAAGTGGAGAAAGAGGAGACACCCGGTTCGACGAGTCGCAACCGTCGCCACGTGAAAGTGGCCGGCGACTTTCGTGATCGAGGGGGCCGCGACAGAAGGGCGGCGAGGGACGGAAGGATCCCGCGAAATCGGCAACCGCGATCTCGTCTGGCCTCGATCGTTTTACGCTGAGATCAGGGGAAAAAAAGAAACGAACGACAGGCTGATACGAATTTGTGCAACGGAACGGAGGGGGCCCCCCCGAGCCACGATCGTATCGATCCGTGAGTCGTGGAAGTCAATGGCTTTAATTGGCGGGCCACGATAACGCGTGTCGCGTTCGACGCTGCTCGAGGATTTACGTTAGAATCGGTGGTTTAAATTAGGGGAGAGTTGCCTATTTTGGACGATTTTTTTATTTCTCTCTCTTACACACGCATAGAAGATCGCAGGATGCGAAGAGAAACGGAAAAAGGACGAGCATTATACGTAGATTGTACGGTGTATTGGTCGTTTTGAAAAAATATTTGATAAGAGTAATATCTTGAAAAAACTAGACTAATGACTTCGGTCCATTCCAAGCAACCGATTTCCTACATTGGACCGCTCCTAAAAACCAATAAAATTAAATCTACAATTTAAAACAAAACTGTTGAGGACATTGAAAAAAGTAGAAACAGTAAGAAAAACGTATCGTCCGAATTGGGATTTTGAATTTTTGATCATTAAGAACTTCAAGGGAATAAAAACAAAATTTGAACTGGTAACGTGTCATTGGTGTAAAATTTCCTGAGAAATTCATTGGTAATAATTAAAAAATTGAAAAATAATTTTTCTCATTCCGTAGGCAAACTGGGTTGTTTACACCAAAGCCTAATTTTTCAATACCCCTATACTACATACCATAACAAATATTATTACCACAGAATCTCGACATTTCGTATTGTCCAACACCTCGACGGAAAGAAACTAGTTCCTTCTGTTGTTTCTATCAAAGCTTTTCAATATCTCCATACGGTGAACGTTGGTGGGGGACATAATCGTGGTACGGCCGATAATCCGACGACAGAGAGCGGTCGTAACTCCGTAGAAAATCGTTAAAATTTACGCCACGATGCCGATATACGTGCTTGAAATCCGCGACGGAATAACGCGATCACCTTAAAGATTACGCCTATCTCGACCGTTATCGCCCGCGTAGGATTCTAAAGCCGTTCGAGCGAGCGAACGGGACGGTTGTGCAACGGAAAGAAAGACAAAAAAAAAAGAAGAAGAAGAAGAAGAAGTTCGAACGATTTCGGGCGAAAGAAACGTTCTTCTTCCCGTTGGTTCTCCCGCCACGATTATTGCGTTTCACGGCGCTCGGCAGATACGTCCTTCGCGGAAGAGGCACGGTCCTCAGGACTTGTACGCGATAACCGCGCGCGAGCCAGATTATAAATAATTGACGTCACACGCTTACTTTTCGTTTCTTTATCGTGTGGTCGAGCCAACCGACGGCGAGTCGAAGCTCGTGATTTTTTTCCCCGCGATCTCTCGCCGCCGTGAGAATCCGCCGTGAACAGGAAATTCCCTCTATTGGTGGAGAATCGTAGCCCTACGGTTTTATTATCGTTCGCGTATCGCCGGTCGGACACCGCGGCGAAAACTCTGTTTACCATTTTGGATATCGTGCCCCGTCATCGGTGGACTCGCCTTATTACCGGCCAGTTCCTTATTGCGTCTCGTTTCTATTCGGAGGGAGGAAATAACGCGTTTGATCGTCGAGGGATTAGGGAGTCATTAGTTTTCCACTTGTTTTTTAGTACTGGTACCGATATGGGGAGATCGGCCGACGACGGGACTCTCGAGATCGGGATTATCGAGACTTGGTTCGAAATTTTTCGAAATTGAGTTCGAACGAAATTGGGTATAGTGCTGGGTAAATTTTATTTGATGAAAATGAGAAATACAGACTACTCTCGATTATTGTCTGGCTTGTTTTACACGGGGGGGGGGGGGACAAGGCTCAGGCTTCGGGCAAAAAAAAATTTTGGTGGGTCTGAAGCATTTCTTTCTATAAGATTATTGTCCTGATGCGGACCCGAGTTCGGGACGATAATCGAGAGGAGTCTGTAACTACTTGAAGTAATTTATTTCGGAAGTTTATTCTTAAGACTGTTATTTGAAAATAAAAATATTATCGATTCATCGGAGACAATAGCAATTTCAAATGAATTATTTTATTGTGTTCGTACAATTTACATATAGCCTGAAATTTAGGTTCTTCGTAACAGTTATTCAGAATAAAAGTTCTTCAGAACTCTTTCAATCGGAACTTTTGTATAAGAGTTTAAAACAGTTATTTTCGGAACCGTTTCAAGCCCTGGTTTCAACCATTGTTATAACATGCACACAGTATTCGGTATCTTACATTAAACGCTTTTTCTATCATTACATTATTTTATTATTCAATAAAATAACCTTATAAAAAAATGTTACACATCACGTCATATAACCTTTTTCTTTCTGTTCTTCTAACAAGTTTTATAACTTCGCTATATAACGTGTTAAGGTATGTAGTGTAGACGCAGCTTTAAGAATAATTCCGCGTACGTTTC